GACAAAGCCAGAATATATCCCGAAATAAAGTTTTCTTTTAGTGAATATCTGCCCACAGCCGCTCCAACAAAAGCCGCGTACAACAGCATTTAAAGCTATTGAAAGAATTCTGGTAGTCCAGTGGCAAGATTGTCTCACTTAAGTTTTGCTTTCCCCTCAGCTGATGCTGGTTCGACTCCCGGTGGGGTTGGCAGCAATCTATTTAGCCAGCTGAAACATTTAATTTGTTTATATTTTAGTTGTAATGTTTATTTTTAGCAAAATATTTATGTCTCTAAAAGTTCTTTGAATTTGGTCGTTCCTAAACAGCATTTTAGTTGATACTCTGCTCACAAATGGACTCACACTGGCTAAATAAACGAATAAATAAATAAAAAACACACATTAGTCATTATATTGTAAACGATATACCAATAAATTGTTGTAAACATAGTTCTGGCAAGTGTAGCTAGAAAAGAAGAAAAAGAGTTTTAAACTACCTAATACTTCCGCTTCTGGGAGACGAGCCTGCGCAAAACTACATGTCAATCTGACTCCACAACCACTTCATTACTACATCTGATAATAAACAAGTGGCGTTACATGTAATTGTGCCATCCAGTGTGTCGTTGTAGATGGGATGTATGGTTTTTCCGCCGGTGTCTCAGTAGGTCATTTCAGAAATAATTTGTCAGAAAATTCACAGAATATCCAGATTTGAGAACCAAGACCAGACCCGCTTCGAGGGAGGAGACCAAACTGAAGCTGAGATGGGAGGAAAATGCATGAATGAGGCCAAAAATGGCTTTGGCGTGTTTCTTATGAGGAAATGGCAATATAACATGATAAAAACTTCCAAAAGTTAGATTTTTTATTATATGGAACCTTTACAAAAACGGTTCAGTTAACCTCTCAACTCCGTCCTCAATCTTGCTTTTTAGATGATATTAGCTATAACATCCTCTCTGGTTCCAGAATGCTATCAAGTCTGACAACTGGAAGGAATTGGACTGACTCTGATGGAATGGGCGGGGCTGACTCTGGAATGGGCGGGGCTGACTCTGGTGCAGCTCCACCTTCTGGTGCAGCTCCGCCTTTGTGGTTCTGTAGCGAGCACCAATTTGAGAATTTACATTAAACATTTATTGTTATCCTTTTGTGTGGTGCAATTCGAACTCCGACTGCTAGGTGGTAGCAGTTCTTACTTCCTTCATTCTGACGGAGCAACGAGATCTCATGATAACACCAGATGTGTCTTGAAAGCATCAGACCCGAGTTTCACAAAGAAATTCAGTCTTAAAAACTGCAAATATCATTTTGCTTTTTGATTGCAAAAAAAGCATAATTTCCCCTGTACTGTGATATATATTGTATCGCCAGATTTACCCAGATGTCTTATGGCAAAAGAAATTTGAGCCGTTTCACTAGATATATTAATTATGTGTCAGAACACCCACAATTTACTATTATTTTATTTAAATAAGAATGTATGAAAAATATGCAAACAAAATTATTATTTAACATTTCGGACATTAAAACCATCATACCCAAGCTAAGCTAAGAGGTTTCCCAGTATTTCCACATTTTGCACTAAAAACATGATATTGGCGCTGATCGTCTCAGTGGTACGTACGGGGGTTAAAGTTTGAATAGAAACCCTGAAGAAAACAAAACCACAAAAACAATTTAAGTAAACCTGTGGAAGCTCCCCTTTCCCTTATTAGAGTCCTGTTTCCCAGGAGCAGATTCCTATTAGCATATCCTCGCTAAACCTCAACCACCCAATGAGAAGATTTCCACACATGAAGAAAGAACTCACCAGCGGTCCAAAAGTGTTTTAATTATAAATGACTTAATGAATAGACGCTTTAATTCTCTCAGCTGGTGATTTAGCCACAACACAGATAAAAACATTATGTTTCTCATTTCTTTCCTCCAGTCCTCTCAGGACTTTCTTGTTCCTGTTATCTCCATTTATTCTGCATTATTAATAGTCTATAAAAATAAATTGCTTTTTTCAAATCATGTAAAGAATATTGTTGACTGGAGATAGTGAGTCATTTCATTATGTGGACAGACGCCAAAGAAAGTACATTTTCAAAGTAACAAACACATTTGGTTAAACCACAGAAATTGTGTTAAGAGCTGTTTCTCAAAATCTAAAGAGTCATTTCAAAGGCCTAGAATTACACAAGCTGCTGTCTTTCATCAGCTGTTCTCTAAAAGAGCGTTGCCGCCTGACCTGTGGCTTTGAAACAAAAAGGGGAAGCTCAGACGAGCAGACAAACCTCACTCAGCTGCTTTTTAATGTGGATCGTTGATTCTGTCTCATCGTCACTAAAGTTTAAAATTTTGTTTTGTTTTTTCACAAGTAACACTTTAGATTTTATTATTTACTTAATGTGAATACAATAACACACATTTAACATGACTGTAAATAAACAAAATAATCTGACCTTGGAAAAGGTCAAAAATATGTCTCTGGGAACAAATGTGACCAAAATGTATTTAAAGTTCCCATCCATCTTTTGAATCTGTAGTTCATTCTTTCTCTACATTTTCTATTCAAAACCTAAAATCAAAACATTGGAAAAGGTCATTTTTTATATTTTTAATTTTAGTTTCAGATGAGGATGATTGAATAAAAAGTAAAAAAATATTAGTTTACAATCATTATTACATTATTATTAAAACAGTATTGTTATTATCTCTGCACTATTAGTAATATTACCTTACATTACACTATTTACTGTTTAATAAAAAAATGGTGCATTATTCTTTAATTTTTCATTGCTCAGGTTGATGTGGACATGTCATGCCTAAGGTGTATTTCTGTCTCCAGCTTACAGAACATTATGGTAATGAGTAACAATCAGAACTAATAGTATTTAAAGAGTAAGTCACCCACCTACCAGAATCTTACTCCACCCACTTTACTTGTTGAAAAATGCGCTACAAGAGGCGTTGCCTGGAGGACTGGGAGGGCGGGTCTGGGACAGTGGGTGACACAGACTGCTAAATCCCAGCCCCCATCACACGTTTGTATCAGACTCTAAAACAATTAAAGGGGACAAAGAATGCAGTTTATCAACAATCTAAAACACTGCTTTGAATCTCTAAAGCAGTTTTTACAGGACCATAGCGTTTGCAAAACAGGATTTGCTGCGGCTCCCTGGGAAGAATTTGGCATTTATAGTAGCAAAGCTGAAGCTAGAATAAACTGCCATCAGGCACCTCTCCAACCAAGACGGGATATATGGAGGTCGCTGCCCCCCCCACCCCCCACCCCCACATGTGCCGTACAGGGTCGTGCATTCAGCGTCAGATGGAAGACACGTCAGACTGATGAAATTTCTTTTTCAGGACCTTTAGCTTTGATGTGACCTGCTTTTTGTCCCGCTTGACGCCCCGCTCAGCCAGTGTTTTCACCACTCTGGGGGGGGGGGGGGGGGGGGGGGGGGGGGGGGGGGGGGGGGGGGGGGGGGGGGGGGGGGGGGGGGGGGGGGCTCCCACAGTCGCTCCAAAGGGAGCTGACACGCGTTTAGCCATCAGAGGCGAGGGGGCTCATGCAGCAATATTACTACCGAGCAAGGCAGAACGAATGCCGCAAAATTTGCGCAACGCCATGCCGGCACGGCGCGTTATAGACATACCATTGTGGTAATATTACGACGATTTGCCGGCATGGTGTGTCTTATAAAAGCACCTTAAGTAGCATAAGAAAATTTCTTTTGGCTTTGAAAAGAGCTGGTTTACCCCTCCCATATGGCCAGGACATGAATATGCTAATGGGCTGCTTGCTGATTGGTTGGTTTAAACCAGAAGGCCTCAGACATTGGACTCTGCAGATTGGAAGTGGGGATCACACATTGTGACATTTTTATGAGAGGTTTCTAAAAAAAGAAGTTTTTCTCTTTCATTTTTAATCTTTCTAATTTACATAATAAGTAGGTCACACTCGGCTTTGACTTTTTGGCATGCTACTTTTGACCACCCAAGCTGTCTTTATTCACAAACAACAAGAACATGTTGTTTACAATAGGGCTGGGCGATAAATCGAAAATCTATCATTATCGAAATGTGTGACCCTTATCGAGATAATTTTTCTCATGTCAATAAACATGATTATAAAAAAATGAAAAGATGTGTGTAGATTGACAACGTTCATGTCCCTTTAATAAGCTGTACCACCTTGAGTTACATAAAAATGTGACTCATCGTAATACATGTGACAGCCCCATCTAGTGGACAACTTTTGTCTCTGCGCATATCTATAGTTATCGTCCATTTATTGTTATTGATGTGAAATCCTCAATATATCGTGATATTGATTTTGGGCAATATCACCCAGCCCTAGTTTACATTCTTCATCCCCTTTAAAAAGCAAAACATTTTACCTTTTCTACTTGGTTTCAAACGAAACTGGAAAGATTGAATGATACACAGATATTTTCTGTGACTCTCCTTCTGAAACACACGCACCCAGCGACAGCTAATCAACCTTGATATCTCTGGTCATGTGTATCTTTTCTAAAGGTTGCAGCTTCTAATTAAAACTACCTGAGAATGTTTTGTGGGCAGCGTCGGGGCTGTCGGAGAGCCACAGACACTTTAGCAGCTCTGCAAGCAGCAGAATAAGAGCACTTTACAAGTAATGAACCTGGAGCTCTACTTTTAAACCCTCGTAAAGTCTGCACACTGAGGCATTTTCACCTTAATGAGAGGAAGCGATTAAACTGCTGGGTCATGCTGGTGCCTTTTTCAGCTTTGGCTTCAAAGTTTAGGTATGTAAAGAATACAGCAATATGACAAGGAATGGAGAACGGAACATTTGCCATAAAGCAAAGCAGCAACTGGAATTTCTGTCATAAGAAATCATTATTAGGAGCTAGATTTAGATAAATCTTTAGTTTTTGCTCAACAACGTCCTCACATTTGTATAATCCGATCTAAGAGCCTGAGAGCTAAAAACCGACATGGATGATCACTGTAAGTCACCAAACAAAAAGCAGTTTCCTTACCTTCCCAAAGTTCCTGACATCAAAAAGATCAAAAGCATCAAACAGATCACTTTTCTTTATCCCGAATGTGTCGCTGCATGTCCCTAGGAAGGTCCTGATATTCTTCAGGCACAGGAACTGTGTTGGGAGGATAAAAAATGATTTTTGTGTGAGTTAGACATGTTATACATATGAGCAGCATCTCATTACCAAATTATCTGATCCATTATTATCTTATTATCTAATTTTTCCAAAGTGTGTTACCATAATGGCCTGACGCTCCCCTGTTCTATTAGCTAGCTTTTACTTTGTTTGATCAATTAGACAGCTGAGGACCAGCGCTCTAACGGGAGGATAATTTAGTGATAATGGGCAACATGAGAGCCTCCTGTTTCATCAATACGATGCCTCCTGTCTTGATAAGAGTATTGGAGTTGTGCAACTTTGGTAAAAAAACTGAAAACTGAAAATCTACTGAAGTAACTCACAAAGAAAATCTAGAATCAATATTAATTTGTTTTATTTTTTGTTATATGAAATATACCCAAGTTAAGACATAAAGATGTTAGAAATTATGAAGTGAAGACAGCTCAAACAGGCTTGGCCTCTTTTCCTGATTGAATAACACTTCCATTCATACATTTTCCATTGATTATCCAAGATTGGGTAATTGGGAGTGAAAGGTCTCCTCCCAGAGGGAGATGCCTGGAAATTCTCAGCTGACTTATTTCGATAAGTTGTAGCTCCAGATGACGGAGCTCCTTGCTGTAACTCTAAACCTGGGACTGCTGAGCTCAAGGACCCAAATCTCACGGTCGCTGATGAGGTTCTGAGTTGCGATGGATCAGTAAATCAAGAGCATTGCCTTTCAGCTCAGTTTATTCATCACATCAGACTAGAGAAATTCCCTCACTATTGTTGATCAAGACACAATCCATCTAGACCTATCCTACCATCGCTCATGAACAAGAGACGAAGATACTGGAACTTCTCTGCTTGGAGCAAATACTTGCTCCCTACCTGAAACACTTTTCTGGTCAAGAGACATCAACTTGGACTTGGGGGAGCTGACTCTCCAGGGATATTGCCAGATGGTAGAAGGAAGGAGCACTATGGGAATCTCCTTAATCTGGTCAATATGTCCTCCACTGAGGAGACTGAAGGTCTATGTTTTGTCAAAGATTGCTAAAATAGTCAAAAAGCTTCTTAGTTGAACAGAAGTGGATGAGATTATCCCTGAGATGTTGACAGCTCTGGACATTGTAATCACTACATAAATGGCGAGCCAGCCAGGAGTGGTGAGTTTACTGGATGTTGTGGCTACAGGCATATTAAAGAGTATGAGATGAGATGAGACCAGGGTTGGCAAGTTAGACGTTCCACGTCTGAGACTGTAGTGTCTGATATCACTCGCAAGCGTTGCAGAGTGGCTTTGAATTTGAGTCAAAAGAGAAGATGGTTCCAAATACTTGCTCAACTGACTAGATCAGGAAGTGATCTCTGTTTTTATCAACTGTTGTTGACAAATTCAGACGAATCAGAATTTGTCAAGTTTAAAGGGCGTTACCAAAATACCTCAGAAGATCCCTTCTTCAATCAGATAGTTAGAGAGGTTATTTCTTAGTTTGAAGTGAAAATGTTAAACATATTAATTGAAGCACAAATGTTTAAACATTAGTAATAATATTATGAGGTGTTAATATACTGATAGATTTAACATTAAAATCAACAAGTACTAATCTGGTGTCATTTAAGATCAGAAATGAATCATTACAGGAAAAATATTCATTTTAACTCACAATGTAAAGTATAGGAAACATTAATCAAACACTTTGGATTTAAACATATTTTTCATTCAACAAAATATGATTATCTGAAGTTTTTAAGTCATTTATGTGAGCCAGGGAAGACTTTATTCAGAGAGGAAATGATAAGAAGTTCTGCATCTTGCAGCCTTGACGCATGCAGGATTTGTTAAGAATATTGGCTCAAGTTCATTTCTTCATATCGACACGACAGTGTCAGAAGTTAAAAGGTAACTTCTTGTCGTTTTGATGAAATACTTGGACTTTTGGTATGCTACACTGTCATGTTTCTCTTCTCGCATGAAAAGTTGAGAAAATACATATGGAGTTGCAGATTGAGGAGATCCTGAATATTAGGGGATCACACTCTTCTGCCTCCCAGGGGAAAGTGTGTCCCAGGCATTGGAAGGGAGACTCTGGCCAATCGTTGACCTTTGGACTCAGGACAAGACTTTGAGAGAGCAAAACATGGGATCACAAAGCTCATTTTTAGATAAAACTCTATAACATTACTGAGGCTTAATCAAGAAACTCTTTATCCACATCACGTGGCTCCTTTGAAAGCTGAACAGTAACACCACTAAAGCCTGAAGTAAGTCCACAGACCTAAGAAGGAATTTCTCAGTTAATTCACATTCCTCTTTAAACTTTCACAACTACAGGCACAGAAATAGCAGGAAGGTGTCAACATACTACGTTAACCAGTGTGCTACATCTGTGATTTCTTGTAAAAATCATGACAAATACAACCGTTTAAACTTGTTTTGGGAAGTGATGTATTTGACCGTTTCACTGTTTGTCTGGTTGAATGGATGACTTCATCCTAGGGTGTATTCTGGTTCCACCCATGGCTCTGATCCTCATCTGGACCTTAGTTTAATGATGAAGTCTCTGCAAGCAACAGTAAATGCTTCTTACTGTCACTGATGATAGATTTTAGAGGGCAAAATTCTTGTTTCGTGCATTAGTCGTCAACCATCCAACCTCTGTTTTCCATATTGTTTAATGTAATAGAGAATCACTCTCAGAGCATCAGAGGAAGTCCCCCAACTCCACCACCTTTCTTTTTGAGCCAAAACTACACAAACTGAAAAAGCAATCATAACTCATGCAACAAATTTTGAGGGTCTCCATTCAGCTTGACTAAAGCCCAACAGGAAATATGGGTCATCGGCAAAAACCCATGCTAAGGTATCCCAACTTGAAGACCTGATTCAGTTTGGCTGCTTATGATAAAGTAAATTCAGTCAATGTTACCCCAGGAAACATAAAGCCCAGAATGATGCTGTAACTAGTGATGTGTCGGTCGCGAACGAACCGGCTCTAAGAGCCGGCTCTTTGAAGTGAGCGACGGGATCCGGCTCGTCATTGGGAGCCCCCCCCCCCCCCCCCCCCCCCCCCCCCCCCGTCCCCCCTTGCCTTGGTGAAAGCTACAGGTGATTGGTCAACATGTGTAACTGTGTGTCCAAACAGAGCAGTAGGGGCAGGGAAGAGGGAGGATCAGACTCAGACAGACACACAACAGAGCACATGAGGGTGGAGGGAGATGAGAGGGAATGAGGAGGAGGAAAAAGGCGAGCAAGAGAGAGAGGAGAGTGCGACGAAGACGGTGAGAAAATGAGCGCCAGCAGTAGGGAAGTGGAGATTTCTTAAAGTGTTCAGTTATTAAATCCATAGAAATGATAAATATTTGATATATTGCTTTTTTTTTTACATTAGTAAATTATTGTACATATAGTTTAGCATTATTTTGGTTATAAATGTACTCTACGCAACAGAAAATCTGAGGAGCCACTTGGGAGCCAAAAGAGCCGGCTATTTTTGGTGAGCTGAGCCAAAAGAACCGGCTCTCTAAAAAGAGCCGGAATTCCTATCACTAGCTGTAACACCTTTTTATAAATGCACAGCACACCCTCAACCTCCTGAAACAGTGCAAGAAAAAAAAAAGATCTGCAAAGTGCATCTCCAGGCATCTGATATAAAACGCCTCTTTAGAAGAAATTAATTTGAATTTCCAGATGGCTCCACAAGACAGAAAAACCTACATCCAGTCAGATCCAGATCGGGCCAGATCAGCAAACAAAAACTGAGAGGATATAAATGAATGTTTACACTTGTACACATTACTTCCTTTTATCAGACAAGCACATCTTGTCTGCCTGGAGTCTCTGGAGAGTCCCAGAGGACCTCAGAATATTATCTGAGGGAAGCAGCTTCGTTTGAACGACAGCGTGTCATCCCCTCAAAGTTGAAGACGGAGGAGGGGAATCTGTGTGTTATTTTTTGTTGTTGTTTTTTTAGGGTGTAGCAGTATCAGGCAACTTCTAACTGTTCCACATGCATGCTCTTCTTGTGCATCAGACTCTGGAGCTCAGCAGTTGAATCAGTTAATGTTTAAATATCTTTATCTGAAGAAAAACACTGTTGGTGACAAAAAAAAAACATTGTAGTATATCATTATTCAAGAGGATTTCTGACCACAATCTTTTCTCAAAAGAATGCAGCTGTTGATTGAAAGTTATGATTGAAGCAAAAGTTGGGGCAACACCAAAGAATAAGCTCACAGGAGGACTCAGGATGGCAGATAACCTCCACCATCACCAGCTGGGATTCCTTACAAGGTGTGGGAGCTGACAGAACAGCTGTCAGTGTTTCCTCGAAAAATCTAATGACCTGAGTTCTGTTGAGGGTTGGAACAATAATGGAGAACCCTTCAACATTAAAGTGGCAATGTGTAGTTTTTACCATTAATCTCTGGAAAGATCCATTGACATGTTGTTGTAAATTAATTAAAAGATACCCCGCTGTTGAAAAATGTTGGCAGTGTCATAACATATAACCATAAAAATCGCATCTAAAATACATGGGAGTGGGCCTAAGTCTCTGGGCGACGCAATATTGGATGCCATGTTTCCTTTATGGAAACCCGTGAGGACAGAACGCATTTACTGATTTGTAACAAACGGTTACAAAACTTTCAGCATTAATAAACATTGGTCTTTTACACATTTACCTATTCACTCATTGCAAGTGATGAAAGGGAATCTGGTGTTCTTGTTATTTTGCTGGAGGTTGCACTCTAGGGCTGGGCGATATGGCAAAAATAGAATATCACGATTTTTCCAATATTTTATCACGATTTCGATTTTATCACGATTTTTTATCCATGAATAGCATAACTTCAATTGCGTATTAAAGAAGAGAAACATTGAATAAATAAACATTTATTCATATTAGGGATAATCAACACACTAACACACTTATATTTTAAACTCACACCAGAGATGATAAACGCCCTGAGAGAAACAATTACAAAAATCAGTTTTTCTCGTT